AAATAATATAATTAAGATATACTAAAAGTATATATTTAAAAAAAAAATTTTATTAAAACAAGTGCTTCCGAATTAGTTCTTGGTTGCTTCTGAGATTTATTATTTTTTAAATGAGTTCAAAGGGCTTCTACACAACAGCAATATTAGCATCATGTGTATTTAAAAATATTAATTTATTTTATACAAATCTCAAGATTTAAATAATAAATTAAACCTACATGATAATAAGTCAAGATTTAAATAATAAATTAAACCCATATGACAACTACTTATTAATAAATTTAACCTATGAATTTTTTTTTTTTTTCTTTCACCGTGATCCATGATGGTCATGGAATCAAGCAATTTGAGGGAAAAAAAAAAAGAAAAAAAGAAGTCAAGCCATTTAGTAAATTGCCAATTTCTTTCACATGTAAAATGTTCTTTTCTCGTCCCAAAATTTTCAAAGGTATGACCGCCAGTTCAGCTAAACAGTTAATAATTCAGTGAAATGTGTATGTAAAACGTGCAAGTTCTTAAATTGACTTTAGGATGATTTTCTATTATTCATCAATATCTCCATTGCCAAATCTTCAAGCAAATGCAAGGAGCATAAAACAATGAAGGGAGAACCCTGCTGAATACATAATATGTTTCATCACTAATTCGCACTTCTTAATTTGAGATGCACTAAACTTTTTGGATGATGGAAGAGCGAAGAATCATAGAATAAATGTAATCACAGAATAAATGTAGTATTCTTTTCATTTTTAAACATAATAGGAATTGCAAAAATTGTGTTACGACAAAAGGGTTCAATCCAGAACACCACACTTACACATATGTATGTGTTACATCCTTTACATTGGTTGGCATGAAGGCCAATAACATAAGCACCACGAAAATGGCTATGGGGAGCAGTAGCAGCATGAGTGGTGGAGGCGGCAATGGTGGAAGTATCAGTGGAAGGATCAGCAAGGATGCTGTTAGACATGTGAGAAGAAGCAATGACTCCAAGCTGAAATAGCTTGCCTTTGCAGGTATCAACCTTCTTGCTCCTCCTTGGGAGAGAGATCTGTGATATTCTACCTTCCTTTGCCCAATGACACTAGGAGGGATTTTTCTTGCTCTCACATCCATAATGTTGCCTGCGTGACCTGAGTATCGATCTTGCAGATTGATTATGCTATTTGAAAATTTTGGTTTCTGCTCTGATTTTGCAACACTCATTTAAGATTCCCTTGTTAGGCTAAATCACACAACCCTGGAATGAGTTCGACCTCTCTCAGCAACACAATTCAGATTCTGAAATCTGACAGCAACTGAAGCAATGGACGTTGAATTCTCTGCAAACTGATTTCCTGTCCAAGAGGGCTGCTTTATCTCGAAATAGGGAATGAGGATCAACCCAGAACTGAAATGGGGGTGAACTTGATGCAACTTCTTACAGCACCAATGCAACTAGAATTATTCAAGAATTAATGGGCAGAATGCAGCACAAAGAACTGATCTTCCTTCAAACTATCAATTCACCATTAATTGATCTTTTATCCTTACAGAAAACCTAATGATCTTTCAATATCACAAAATTGGGAAAACACAGCCTCAGGTATGCATGTGTAACAGCTGTTGGAAACCGGAAATGAAAACCCAAATGCTCTCTATAGCAGAAGAGGATTCAGAAGACTGCAATTTTTGAATAATGAAACATCATCCCGAACGATCCAACTGCAATTCAACAATTTCAATAATTGAATAAGATGATAGATCCAATAGTCAAAATAAAAAATCCCTAAAAGAACCACATGTGAAGCATAAAATTATAAACTAGAACAAAAGGATTCAACTTTATAATGTTGAATAAAGAAAAATCTGATCTTTTTGCAAGATCCATGAACAAATCAAGGGTTATAGGGCAATAACTACAATACCCAGAATTGATATCCAGCTAGTTGACAAGAAATTAAACAAATAAGTGAGAAATTAAACATAAAGAACATACATACTTATATTCGACTAGGAGAGAATAAAGAGAGCTGGAAAAGTGATGGGAAAATACCTATGGTGGAGGTCAATTAATCAGCCTTGAAAATGGTACTTGGAATGGGATGAGGATTTCCAAAAGAGACAATAAGAAAGCTAAGAAGGCACCCGATTCCCTTAAGAGTATCTCTCTTTAAGCTGACGTTCAAAGAGCAAGGAAAACCATGAGCAACCAATAGCAGAAGATGAGGTACACCCACAAGAATACAAAGAAAACCAAGAAGGCAGAAAACTGGGTTATCTTCCAATCTTGTTGTTTACCCTTTCTGAAGAAAAAAAAAAAGGCAAAAGCTTTTAAAGGAGGAGAGATAGATTACAAGGATATAGAATGGGGATAAGGGAGAGGAGATGAAGAAAAGAAATTGGAATACTTGATTGGGTAATGGGGGTGAAATGGAAAGCTGATGGGTTTGGGGTGGTTTCACTGAATCTGTTTTAATCATGAATTTATGATGAATCCCTCTTCTCTCCTCTTTCCTTGCTAATTAATCTTTGTTGTTGTTCAACATTGGTAGAGAGAGAAAAGGGTTTGGTTCAGTGAATTCCAATGAGAAAAGTAGTGTTCATTGCTGACAACCAAGTTGCTGATTTAGGAAAGATGAAGGCAACGGGGTGATTCTGTCCCCCCACAAAGGTTCTTCACCCCTAGACCCTTTCTCTCTCTCCCCATTTTTCTTCTTTTTTTTTTCTCTCTAGAGTCTAGAATCCACCCACTTTTTCTCCCTTTAAGACAAGGCCAATTCCAGCACCTGCTTCTTTATTACAACTTACAAGCAATTCTCATCAGGGACCCCACGTCTTCTTCCTCCTCACCCCACCTCACCTCTATCTAGTTCATAGTTATGGCCACACTTCTTTTTTTTTTTTTAAGGCTTCACAAATAATATATTAGTAATTGTATTTATTTTGGCTAATTTTATTAATATATATTTTAAAATTAATTATTATATTTAAAATATTTATTTATAAATTAAATTTAACATATTAAATAATAAATATTAATTATTTTATTAATTGATAATTATAATTTTAAATTATTTTTAATAATTAAATAATATTTTGTGTGATCAACCTTAACAAAAAGGTGAGTTAGACTGTCTACTCCTTTATGTCTGTCCCCACTCGTTCAAGATGAAAATCAATTCCTATTTGGATTTTCAAATTGTAATTTGCATCTGGGTCAAATATTTATATTTTTCTTCCACTAGGTATGTTGGAGTCATATCTCTATAATGTTGAAGTGATCCTTTTTCTATGTAATTTTTAGATAAGCAAAATATATATTTTTTTGATTCAGACTCTTTTGATATATATTTTTTAAATTTAGATTCAAGATAAAACATCAATGAATTAAAGATAATAAAGTTGTTTGATTTCTAATCCAAGTTAGATAATTGTCTGCCTAAATTAAAAACTAATAAAAAAATTTATATAAATTAAACTATATAATAATTATGAATGATAATCTTTTGATATTAAAAGTCTCTTTTATTTAATTATTTTTGTTTTATAATTCAAATTAAATAATAAAATAAAGGACTTAAAAATATTATTTTATTTAAATAACTCCAAGAATGTTTTATAAGTTTTAACTAGAAAATACTAAATTAAAAATAAGATAACTTAAAAATTCAAAGATATTTTCTCCTTTCTTGTGTTGGTAAATTTTCTAATAAAGAGACTATTTTTTCTCTAAGTAACATTCGTATGCCTATAGGAAAATTTTTTTTAGGCCGACCAAAGATGGGTACTACAGAAATGTTGAAAAGGACCATCTCAATTCCAAATAGAGGGAAACAAATGGGTGAGAAAAATTAATTAGTCATGTTAATTATTGGTTGACATGAAATATAAAGAAATTAAAAAACTATGATTACAAATAAATAAATCATTTAGCTTGTGTTTGGTTTAAACATTTTCTTCCAAAATTGTTAGAAATGATTAAACTCATAAACTACAGAATTAGTGTTTGCATCCCTTAAAAAATTATCATTTTAGAGAAATATCAATTTTTAGTGATCACTAAACCATTATTTAGAATGACTAAACATAAATAGATTGTTACACTTGGGTTTTCGGGTCCAGTGATATCAGGTTACGTATAAATGCATCCTCTCACTTTCAGGATAACGGTTTGAATTCAATACTTTATGAATTTATTTAACAAAAAAAACATAAATAGATTATTAAAATTTTCTTAATAATCATACCAAAAACAAGTTACTTTATTTTCTATAACTATTTTCGTTCATTTCCTATATGGCAGTTCTTGCCTAAAATTTAATTTGCTCCAACAACAATTTACGTCCCCCAACCAAAAAAACCCCATTTTATTTTTATTTTTTTTCTTCTTCTTTTTCTTATATAAGAAAATGTGTGCATTTGAAAATTTGCGAGTGGGGTTGGGAAAAATTGAGAAGGAAAACCCATGATTGTGATGAGAACGAAGACAGCAGACGTTGATGGGAAAGCAAAACCTGTGTGCTGCAAAGGGTGGATTTTGGAGGGTTAGGGAGATGTTCAATCACAAGTCAGAGGTCCCCCAGATCAAATTCAGGCAGGCCAAATGGGCAGACCACATGTGATGTGGACCCAATTTCTTCTTTTCTGATGATTCGGTGCACCTTCGTCATACAAACTTGTTTGTAATTCCTCGTACAGATGAACAACGTGACTTTGTTTATATTCCTGGCTTAAAATTTGACTTAATACAATTTGGTCCCTCCTATTTCCATGCTCCTTCCATATGCTTGCTTGGCAAAGAAAAAAAATTCCCTTCTCCATGCTTGCCTCGTGATGCATGTATCTGTTACTTTGATCTTGGTCGGCAAACAAAATTGTTTCAAAACCCATGTACTTTGATTGGAGTTTTAGGAAAGTACTATTTGATTAAATAGAAATTGAAAATCACAAGTTTTTAATATTTATTTTTGTTTTATTAATTTCACGTGATAACAATTATAACACAGGTATTAATATATATATTTATTTAATATTACAAAATTACTATGAAGTTTTATTGTGAAATAATAATATTGGATGTAAAAATAATAAGAAGAACCTTTGTATATAAAGTATTAGTTAAATGTTAAGATAATTAAATTTTGAGATGTTACTTGTACAATTGTATTATCTTTGTTTGTGAACACAATTATTTGGAGGATAAAGAGAATAGGGGAGTGGCTATCAAGCGCAGACAGAATCACACAATAAATTTTATTTTATTAATGGGATTTCAATTTTGTCCAAAGCCCCAAACTCGTTCCCCATCACTGTGTTGTGGAGGTGGGAATGTGGGATGATGTGGGGTCTGTTGGCAAATAAGTTAGGGAACCGCAGCCACACAGCATGTAAACACAATTTAACAACTTAGTCATCCTATCATTCAACACAAGAAACGAAAATTAAAAAAAAAAAAAAAAAAAAAGAGTTTGTAAAACAAAGCTAATAAAATTCCACTTTAATTTGTATCCTTAACTTTTGAGTTTGGTCAATTAGCGTGGCTAAAATTTTTCTTGGTCGGTTAATTTAATTTCCAAACTTCCTAATTCCTATTGTTGGAAAATCAGAGTACTCTTCTTTTTTGAAGGAAAAACAATTTCAACTAAAATTTTGCAGATTAAGCTGCATTTAACAACCAGAACTTTTCTGAACCGTGGAGATTTCAAGTGGATACTTTTGGGGTAATTTTATCTGCTTCAAGGAAACTTCGTTTAGTAACACAAGACTTTGATGCATGAACCATGAAGATTATGAGATTAACCTTAATTGCACCGAAAATTATGTAATATCAAACATGGGTTGGAATCACCAGAGCACGCATAGCATGGGTGAAGATTCTATGCTCCTCTGATACCCATCATCTTAGCTACAGTATGATCTTATATGTTTATGAATGTTCCTGGTTGATCAGTTAACTTTATACATTCAAGTTTATTTTATTGATTTTTTTGATTTATACACGTTTTGAAACTAATTCTTTTCTATGAATCTTAAAACACACTCCCAACATCAGACTAATATATTCAAGTAAATTAAATTAAATTTTTTAAAGGTTAATTGTAAGGTTTTAACATTATATCTAATTTACAAAACAATAATTACTAACCAATGAATTTATTTTATTGAGGGTGAATCTCATGGGTGGTCACCCAACTTTATTAAAATCAACGTTTTGGTCACTCAACTTCTAATTCTAACAAAATGGTCACCTAACTTCTTAAGTTGTCCAGCCGTTAGTCATCCATAGTTAATATTAACTGAAAATGTTAAATTGCCGTTAAGGTGGCTAAGTTGAATGCCATCTGACTGACGGGCATTGCAAGCACTAAAAATGTAAAAATTATAATCTAAATCCCTAAAATTTTGGCTTTTTTTTAACTCCTCTAATTTAACCAAATATAGTGAATAAAAATGAATATCAAGAAAATTCAGAATAAATTACCAAATCAGTATGACCTGTTGGTTGCATCTATAACGTGAAACTTCTTTAGGACTAGACAGATTTCTAAAATAGAGGGAAGCTAAATTTGCAAAGAAACCCCTTTTCTAACTTACCTAATAATAGACATAATGAATGAAAATGGACATCGAGAAAACTCAGAATAAATTACCAAACTAATATGATCTAGTTGGCCATGACTATAACATGAAACTTCTCTAAGACTAGTGTCAACAAAATTGGCACAACACAAATGATCAAAACTCTTGCAGACGTAACATTATATTTTCTATTTGAAAATAAAAATAACAATGTTGTATAGTTATATTGATCATTTTAAAATATAATTAAAGAAACAAAAAGGTATAAGTTGAAAATAAAGAAATTAGCACGAAAAAAGATCTTAAGATCATCATGTGAATAATCATTAAAAAAGATAAAATTTTAGGGATTTAAATTACAATTTTCACGTTTTTAGTGCTAATGAGTGCTTGTAATGCTAGGTCGGATGACGTGGCATTTAACTTAGCCACCTTAACGGCAATTTAACATTTTCAGTTAATATTAACTGTAGGTGACTAACGGTTGGACAACTTAAGAAGTTAGGTGATCATTTTGTTAGGTTTAGAAGTTGAGTGACGAAAACATTGATTTTAATAAAGTTAGGTGACCACCCATGAGAATCACCCTTTTATTGATTATTGATTATTGATTATGTTAGCATAATAAGTACCAAAAACATACTTTTGTCAGACGGGAAATTTTTTATGGGATCTGTTCAAACCTGTAATCACTCCGAAGCCGGAGGGAATGGATTTGGTCCAAAATTTGTGGAAGGATTAACATCCTGCAAATAAAATGCATTCATGATTCATTGTTTTTTTGGGCAGATATCACTCAAACAATGACACTGCTCATTCAAAAGATTTATTTTGGGACAATTATAACATCTAATAATCAGCATCTGCCGACCATTGCAGGATGCCAGGATGCTGGATCCCTAAGACAAAAGATTATTGTCAGTCAAAGGAGAGAAATATCTCAAGAAACAAGTATGGATTCTTTTATTTTTTGGGGAAAGAAGCAAGCATGTGGATTCCTGGATCATGATACGGTTCAGCAAAATGCATGCAAACAAAAGGGTATGGGAAAGGAGGTGGATCTGTGTTTTTTCCTTTTGATACATTCTGAACAGGGGTGGGAGATTCAAACCTCGAAGTCTGGAACTTCTGAAGATCTTAACAGGTGCTTTAGCCTTTAGATCATGATGCCATTGGTATGTAAAAATTATTATAAATCTAAGTGTGTTTTTAACATGTTAATGGTGCATCTATATCTATTTTCTCTATTATTTTGCATAGGAAAATAAAAAAGTTAATTTTATTTTTAACACTAATATTATGTAAATAATTTTAATTAGATAATTGATAAAATTAAAATT